AGCCCCGCCCCTTTTTGGCTACATATACGTATGGTGATTGACGTTCGGTATTCTCGATTCAATTCTTTTGAATGTCCCACGAAATAACCTTCATAAGAATTCGAGAAAAACAGAATATTTTTTTAAATATTTATAAAAATAATAAATCGCAAGTTTATACTCTTCTCTCTTGTTACTCAGTTTTAACACATAACAGTGAATTAATATTCAGCTGAAGCATGATCAGTGTTAGAAGTTTGCATTCTCCAAAGCTGGATCTTTTGCATTCTGTTAGCACTTTTCAAGCGGAGCGATTGTTTATCCGCATCTATGTGAGAAAATCCTGCTCGAACACTCAAAGACGCGATCAAGCAAAGTAAGTTAAAAAGTACTGATGTATGGTAACACGTGAGAACGACTGCTAACGAGAAACAACAGGAATCAGATAATTCATGCCGAGAAACAGGAACGAAACACATTCATAACACCGAAATTTCTTAAAAATTCATTACAAATTTCTACAAAGAACAAATATTATTGAATTAATGCAACAACTAATAAGTAATAATACAAGGACCAAAAATAACTTTGGTTAATGAAAAATATTCACAGAAGAAAATAAACCTAATTCCTCTTCTTAGCAGGCTTCTTAGGTTGTTTTTTGACAGCAGGAGGCTTTTTCACTACAGGAGGCTTCTTAGCTGCTGGTTTCCTTTAAGAATCTCTGAGCAGTTAGAATTCAACGACAATCTGAGCGCAGAAACTAACTTTTTTGATAATGGAGTGGAGGTTATAAAATTGGCAGAATTGAAATTCACAGTTGATTCATCCAAATCCAAATACTGAAGAAATTTAAAATGCAAAACCCGGAGAACCTCACTCACCTTAGTATATCCGTTGTTATTACTAGCCCTTCGAGGTAATTCTTTACTTTTCCTTCTCTCCAACTGGAAAATTAGACCTAATCATTGAATAGCAAACGGTTTCTCACCATTAACGATATTATCAAATCCATCATCTTCCCCATCAGTATTCATCAAAGAGTCATTTAAATCTAAAACCACAATTTAATCAAACAGAAATACACTCACCAATCTGATTCTTTAAGGCCTGAAGAGAGTAAAACGAATATCATGCAAATGATGAGTAACTCACCGGAACATTTTGGAAAATAGGTTTTCCTTGAGGAGCCTCCAGGAAAAGATCCTCATCATCATCAGAGGTCATAACGGTTTCGTTTAAATCTGTAAAGCGTTGTAGTGTCAAAAGAAAGATATCCATGAAAACCTTGGTTGTAGATTATCGGTTCGAAATTCTTACGTGTGTTGAAACGGATAATGAGTAAGAAAAGGTTCAACTAAGACATGAGTCATGATCTTACTGGTTCTGGTATAACTTGAGAGAGCACTGGTGTTTTTGTTTCAAAGAAAATGTCTTCTTCTTCATCATCATCTGATGTCATTATTGTCTCATTGCCGTCTGAAATTCAATTTAACAAAACCATCACTCGTTGTTACCCATAGCATAACCCTGACTGAGATTTCTCTTTGGAGGCTTAAAAGTGTTTTTAAGACATGAACAACATGAAGGAAATATTACCACCGGTGGAGCAATCTTGGCGATCGGAATTCTCAATCTAATTGGAGAAGTTTGCACAATTTTAACAGGAGACTCATGAACTTCTTCCTGATCAGAAATAATAGAATAGAAAGCCGAAATGAACATACGTGAGCCAGAGCCTGTTCTTCGAGAATCTTTATTTCGTCTAACAATCGTGCAATTTCTGCTCTCATTTCATCACATTTCATCGTTAAATCGCAGTATGAATTCTAAAAGGTTGACTGCATGATCCCGATTTACACAATAGGATGACTCACGGTTTTCTGTTCGATAAGAGTGTGTAAAGCATCCAGTTTCACTTTTGAATCAGTTCGTAAATCATTGAGGTTGTTAGTCTGAAATGAAGAGTTGAGGGAAAGCAACTTCAACATACTGTAGCGTCAATCCTATTACATCTGTCTTCGATATCATCATTGATTTGTGAACACTGGCTCTGACACAATGTGAGTTTGGTGGTACTGTCTTTGTACATAGTTCTAAGATCGTTCAGCTTATTCAGTTGTTGTAACTGAAGAAAAGCTGTTAGAGATTCAAGTTGGAAAAAAACAACCTCAGTTAGAAAAACTTGTAAAGCTGGCGCATAGCTGTTGAAGAACAGAATCGTTCTTTTTGTTTTTATCCATTTCAGCTTTCTAAGTAGTGAACAGAATAGACAATAGCTCAAAATATACTAACACTGCCTTCCAAAGATCTTATAATATCATTTTTCCCAGCCTCACAGCTTTGAAGCTCGCTGTTGATATTTTCCAATGACTGTTCGATTTCTTTTCTTATTTTCTGTGAGAGAGTTCTAAAAATTAATTAGTGCTTATTAAGAAATTAGCGAACCGTACCAGTAGTTGATTCATCTCACTCTGCTCTTCGAGTACTTTAGCCAAAGACTCTCGAACTTCCTGAAGCTTTTTTTCAGCCTCAACACGAGTGCCATGAGCAATTTGTCTCTGTTCGGTTAGAGATTTATTTATAGCGACCACCTAAGAACGTCTTCTAAACAATCCGGCTATATGCAAACCTCTTGTCTTTCCCTTTTCAAAGCATCCAGCATCAGCATTTTCCTTTTCAAATCTTCATTCAGAACATCTAGACAAATGCATCCATTGAGATTTCGAGAAATTCTGCTTACCATTCCCCATTTCCAGTTTGTTCAAATTCTGCCGTTCATCACGAATATCATCATGCAGTATAGCAACACGTTGTTTCGTCTCATCTTTTTCAAGAAACGTGAGCACAGAGTTCTATCAAGACCAAATTCAGTAAAAGAAACAGAAAGATCACCTTCATGACTTCCAAACTCTTCTTGAATTCATTATCAATCACAGTTCTAAACTCATTTAACAGTCTCGCTTTTTCTGAAAAAAAAATTGCAAAAGGTATCAATAACCTATTAACAACCTTGATTGAAGGGCACATTCACTTCATCTCTTCCCAGTTCTGAAATACGTCCAGGAACGCTACAAAGTAATTCATACATAAAAACAATAAGAAAAAAAACCTGTGCAGGTTTTCCGTCATTTTCGTTAATATGCCGCCATCGAGAAACAACACTCCTGAAGATACTTTTGAGACCTACATTACCGCTTTTCACACCTTTCTTATCGTTTATCTCAGCATTTTTCTTGAGTTGCTCAAGCGAATCTTCCACATTTTTGCATCTAAAATATACAACAATGGGAGAATGCATACAACAGAGAGCAACTTAGTCACAAGCTGCTTGACACCCTGGCCATTTATCTCTTTGGACCAAGCCCTCTTCTCTCCAATAACTGGTTTATCTTTAGTTACATCTTTAGTTTCCTGAAATATTTTTTGTTTTAAAATAAAAAAAGTTGAATAAGAACCTCATTAAGGCTTGTGCGTATTTTAGAAATTTCGTTATTTACAACATGATCGGATAGTGCTTTGATTAAAGGTTCAAAGCACAGGTTAGACATCTGAAGTTGTTCGTATTATTTTAGAAGACACACTATGCATAACCTAAACAACTAAAATATGAAGCTTGGCCAACGCTAGTCTGAAAAGGTTATTCTGGGTATGTCCACGTAACGGAAATTTGAATACACGTGGGACGCCAACACTTTGCTGCGGGGCCAAAAGCACTTCCGCCCTTCAATACTCCATTATGTAAATTAACACGTTGGCAGCGTCACGCGTGATTCTCGTAATTGCTTATCTTATTTCCGGTTTTTCTTTCATCTGGACCGTTTGAAACAGATGGAAACATCTGAATTATACATTCGGAACAGTTTGTTGTTGAGATAGCTCAGACTTTGAGTGGGTTTATTTTTCAAATAGGGCGGTTACATTCACAAAACAACAATGACTTCCGGTTATCGTTAGTACGCAAACCGTTTATTAAAAATTAAAGACGGCGACGTACTTTTTTGGAAGACAACCGCATTTTCTTCAGATCACTATGCTGGCTTCCGTGCCTGATACTCTGAAACAAAAGTTTGAATATTTACCTGATTATGATAGACAATTGGAATATAACACATTCAACAGTCCTTGCGAAATCAAATATCTGACACAAAACGGTTTGTTCCTTCTTGACTAATGATCCAACAATGACAACAGCTCTCTAACTTCTTTTCTGGCCTGCTATCAGCATCACGAAGTTGTCGTGTATAAAGCTCCAGTCTTTGAAATCTTTGCACACGGTTTACTTCCTCGTGGAGCCGTCATCAAAGATGTTGAATACTTACCTGATGAAGGTGTTTTGTCTGTACTTTTCGAAGTTTCAGCTAGCTTCTTACAGATTTGAAGTTTAGACTAGTAGTAGCTGTTCATACCTATGAAAAGCCTCAAATTACATTGCCTTACTCGAAAAGAACAAACATGACTTAGTTTTAATCCGAAAAGTCACAGTTCCCCACAAAGTGAGTCTCAAAAAGGAGTGATAGACAGTGCTTCCATTCAGATTACATGCTTGAGAGTCGTACGAACAGATTACGATGTAAAGAAAGGAAAATCCTTATCAACAAAGTTAATGGAGGGCTGGCCTAACGTGATCGCCGTTGGTATGGTCCAATGTCATAAACTCTCATACCTTTTTAAGGAACGGAGGATGCTCATGGCTATTTGACATATTTGAGAGCGGATGTAGATTCTTCTGTACAAACTCCTATACTTGATCCTTTGCGTAGGTTTTGACCGAACATGCACAATATTCTCAGTATTCAGTACGACTACATCTTAACTGTCAGTTTACATACGCTTATCTCCAGAATAAAATGGATTGGAAAACGAATTATTTTAATCTTGGTAATCAATTATCAGTCCGTATGACACGTTAGACCTTCAGATGAATGTTCTGTGACTGCTTTCGGCTACTTGAACCAGTGTGATTCACTTGTGATTGGCTTCAAATTCGGCGGCTTGATGATCTTAACATTTCAAGAGAAAGTGCGCATGTAAGTACCTGACTACTTCTCTGAATGAACATGATCGAACTTTCGTTTCAAGGATTTGCCTCAGATACTTATGCTCAGCTCCTGTATCTCACATAGTCTACTTAGAGCCTCATGATGATCCTAAAAACACTGTTTACTTCTCTGTAGGATATCCGTTGGTTTTCATTCCAACATCTGTCGAAATACTTTTGCTTCAGTGAGAATGAGCATGACAAGAATCCAGCAGTACAAATGGTATTATATAGCAAAATTGAGGGAAACCAGTATACAAAACGATTTTTTCTGAAACTAACAGTCAGTTAAATACTCCTTAATAAATTTCATGAATCTATTCAGCATAAGTTTCCGAAGGGTAAAAAATTTCTTTCTATGCGGACACTTTGCTTCAAGAATGATATTGATGGTAGCAATGGTTCTAACGAGGAAAACGGATCACAACTCCTCAGGTGGTTTGATCATATCAGACCCTCATCAGTGCTGTTCAGGTGTTGATCGATCACTACTCTTCATGGCTTACATCACAAAAGAAAACAAACTGATGGTTTGTTCTCCCAGTACTTAACATATGAAATCTATGTTCAGGCTAGTTTGTTCGATTTAAACGCTTTCTACTATAGTAGGTTGGTGCCGAAGGTAAAACCGGATAAGACTATTGCTTGTCAGAATCCGTTTTTATCTTATATCTGGCCAAGTGAGGAAGAAAATTTCGATTTAAAGGTATCTTATTTGATGATTTTATCAGTGTGATCTAAAAATAGGAGCTCGTCGTAGATGGAGAAACCATATATAGGTCAATGGTGAACATGAATTATTCGGATCAGTTGTATTATCCTTCAAACTACGAAGTGAGCTGGAATATCTTTCGGCTGCTCTTATCACATTCTTCAGATTCCATGCATCTACGGGTTCAGTTGCTCAAAGGTTTATAACTTTCGTGTACCTTCAATCAAAACTCAGGTAAGTACGGTTGAAGTACTTTCATAAAGAGCGCTTCAAGGTGCTACGAAGAATAGGGAAGCATCTCCACGTTTGTGTTAAAAGTCCGTATAGAGCTGCCGAATGTTTCTGCGCCTTAGGATTAAACACGGATTATGATGTGAGACGTAGTTAGTGAACTTTCCTCAAAAAACTTTGCAGATGGATCCATTCGATGTGGTTTTTTCTAGCCTTATTCTTTATGGACATATAGACTTGATTATCAAGTTCATCCGCACTCTTCAAAAAGAAGATGAAATGATATCGAAGATACATTCTTGTGTCCGTGATGTTGCAGAGTCAGCCAGAACCAAGATGGATAGTACAAGTGAGTTTAAACATTTTTCTATCTTTCTTGAATCTCGAAAACTCATCCTCTGAAACAAATTGACTTCTAGGACCTCTCTGCTCGCGAGGACAAAGAGAATTCGATGATGCCATGAATACCTTCGAAGCATGTATAAACATACTTGATCACTTGATTTCTGTCGCAAATGACATACCTAATGGTTTGTTTGACAGTTCTCGATCATGTTATCCTCTTCTGTATAGATACTCTGGTTCAAGATTTAGAAGCCACTCGAGATTCTTCTAAAGCATACGTTCAATATTACCTATGTGTCAAAAGCCTGATTCACAGAGGAATGTTGCCCTTGTCCGATAAGACCGAAAACATCTTTCAGAAAATGAGAGAAGAAACAACCTGCAGGAGAGAAAGGGGGTAACTCTATGATTTCGAATGTCCTCTCTAGTTATTTAGGGCGTTACTAAATATCGACAAGCTAGCTGCTAAAGTGTCTTTCACCAAGCTTTCCGAGAATGAAACAAATCAGGAACTGTACCCTCCAACAATAGCGGTAAAACAAGAAAATGAAATTATATTAAAAAGTGGATAGGCACTCATAGGTTCTCTTCTCTCTTTGGAGTTACCGATCGATGTCAAGAAGGAATGGATTGTTTATAACTTCATTGATTACTACATAACTGAAGGAAACATGAACGAGCAAAATCGGAGTGTGAGTTGGAGCATCTCATCTAAGCAAATAATATCCTCTTTATTACAGAAGAAATCCATTTATGATTACATTGATGGTACTATAAGTTCTTACTTTGAAGTTGAGCCAGAGGAAATCCAAAACATTTATGATGCGTGGTCTGAAGACCATTCATGTTTAGCACCCATCATGACAACTACCAAGGACTTGAACATGTCCCTAGTATCGAACCAATCTGCTGACTTACTAGACATGGTTAGAGTAATCAATTAACTCGTGATTTTCTTATTATCTTATGTTATAGACTGACACTTTTCTGAAAGAATTGATTATGAGTGACAAGCCCAAACGAAAAATTACGACAGAAATCACATATTAAACGAGTTCTTTGAAGCAAATGCTGCTGCGAGATCAAGAACTAAAGAATGGATTAGTGGGTGACACAGACGTTGAAGACATTCTGAGCAGTACAACTCCTCAAGAGAGACCGAATTAGATGAAACAGCTTCATGGCAGTAAGGGAACTTTCATTATCTGCTTCTCATATAGAGCATTTCAGACAAC